AAGTTAGATAATCAACAACTTTAGGGAAGAGTTAAAACAAGGTTTATTCTAAAAACATAAACACTCTAGACTTTAATCTTTGTATGATTTCACCAAAAAATTATTCACTTTATTAACGATACAACACATCACAACAACATATAACATAGCACAACAACATATAACACAACGCAACATAAATAAAACATAATAATTTAAAATAATCAAGAATAGTTATAAACTATTGTAAGTTGGATAAGTTAATAATTGAAATTGTAGAGGAGCGGTAACTTCCAAAATCAACATAAACCTCTAACAACTAAAGGGTAGGAGAACCAAGAGATTTGGAAAGCTGTTGTTCTAAAAAAAATAGTTGTTATTGCAGTTAATAAAAGTGTGATTCTTGTTGTCTCTCTTATACTCCTTTATAATATAAATTCTAGAAATATTTTTTCTTTACAAGTGGCATCAAAATTATCATCCTTATATCATTTTTTCAAGGATGCCTAAATATGGGATTATTTGCTGTAATACTTATGAGCTTTATTCATATACACTCATAATTCAACATGTAATGCGGTATTGCATATAAACGCGTAGCTAGATGCAAGTAAAAGAGTAATTTTGTAAGTAAAAAACATGTAATCCTTCTCCAGTAAAAAGTAAAAACACAATAAATGTTGAACACACAACAAAAAATTAAACCCAAAATGAAAATAAAAGATTAAATAAATTCAAAGAAACTAATAAGAAATCCAATCAACAAAATCTCAACACGCACTTGATTGTTTGCATAATCCTAAAAAATAATCAATTAAAAAAAATTATGTAGCCAACAAAAACCCTAAAAAATAGCAAAATTATGGAATAGCTTTTTCTTTTATCTTGGTTGTCGTTACCCTCACGATAGCTGAAACATTAATCGTAGCCCTGCTCTCGTTCTATAAATGCATGGGGAACGGATGTTCAAAATGCATGAAATAAAAAACAAATAGACGCTCCATCGGCCCGAGAAAATGAAGAAGACATGAAAATATACCTTAAAATAATGACACACACTCCTTCGGCCTACTTGCATATTTTCACCCTCCTCGCCTTCTTGTGTATGCTCGTTGTTTCTTTCTCGCTGCTCGCGTGATGCTCATGAAGATATAGCAAACGACGAAGACGAAGCAGACGACTGAAGATGTCTGCTCCTTCGGCCTTCCTTACTCGCATATCACCTTTCTTTTTGTTGGCTTCTCCTGTAAGCAATGATATATGAAGGCATAATCGAAAGCCCTTGCCCCCGCTCGCGGAAATGAATACCGAATACGGGCGGGCTATTGCTTTATGTAATTAATTATTTTAATTAATTAATAGAATACGTGTGTCTGATATGCGTATTCTTTTTCAATTTAAATATTATTTTAATGGGATACATTTTTTGCCATATCAGACACATATTCGAGCCGTATTGGGCGCATATTCGTGTTTGACATAGCACACCTTCATAAATAGGTGTATTGGTGCATCATAACACTAAAAAAAATGAAATATTTACTCGATGGAGTAGATGTAGGTAGAAACAAATTGTTAAGCTCAAGATCTTGAATACATAAACATGATCAAGTTACTTATTGTCAAGAATTTGATAAGCAATTGATCTTGAGCATTCCCAGGTTATTGGAGCCATGAACAACCCCATTGGGATGTGATTTTGCTGTCTCTCTTGGTTTGGCTAAGTAATCCATGGCACTACTAATTCATGGTGGATGAGTGAATGCTCTACGTATGCTCGTAGAGGAAAAATGGCTTCAACCATTTTATATAGAGTATAGTGAAACCTTAATTAATTTCAATTCTCTATTTGGTGCAAATGGTAAATTTCTTAAAAAACGTAACTTTATGGATCAACCAAACATGAGGTTATGCAATAGCCATTAAGCAATTCCTATATTTAGTACTTCAATTTAGACCAAATCTTTATGATCAAGTGGTCTATGTGGAGGTTGTTTTTCTCAAGGTTAAGAAAATTAGACTAGACATAGAACTGGAACAAAGAGTTTTTGAAGGTTCAATGCTGTGATCATGATTGAACTTGATAACGTAATAAATATAAAATTTATTTAAAAAAAAATTAAATGACATAATAATAATGTAATAATGATATAAAAATATAAATTTTTAACGAAAAAATAAATTGAATTCATACATTAATGATGTTTTTTTTTGTAATTTTAATTTTAAACATCATTAATCTTTAAATTTAATTCACATTTAGTACAAATTTAATTCAAATAAAAGCTTATAAATTTAATATAAATCATTATTAATTAATGTTATATGTTTAGATATTATTTACGCCTATAGATTATGTATTAAATTCACATTACAAATTTATTTTTTCAGTCCGGTTCAATGCAAAAACTGGTTTTATAATGAATCGAATTTGCCATATGACTAGTTGAAGGTTGAACCAATCGAACTGGCTAGGGGTGTCAAAATGTGTTTTCGGGTCGGGTTCGGGTCACATGTGTGAGGATAGCAGAGGGCTCGCATGATGGACACTTGCGGTGGCAGAATCTGCGGTGTGGATTGTGAAGGGTGGAGTCCGGACAACCGGACGCGGGAAGTGCTCAGTGGGATCCCCGGATCATGTTGGATTGAGCTCTGATTTCGAATGCCGAAGTTACAAAGTTCGAATGGACAGTGCGAACCGCGAATGCCGAACAGATAGTGCGAATGCCAGATCTGGCTGGATAGAGCAGTGTTAGTGGAGTTGCTGGATTGCGGAGTTTGGATGCTAGATGATGGAGTTCGAACACTGGATGGAGCTCGTGAGTGTGGGATTGGGATGCACAGGGCTGGTCATTTTGGGTTCATCATGGGTTTCTATGTCAACTCGAACTGACCTGGTTTTATGAACGGGTTGGAATTTGGAACCTGAACCTGACCCGTATGGCAAATGGGTTGATCCAAACCTATAATTTTCTGGGTCGGGACAAATATTTACACCCCTAGAACTGGCTGGTCCATTCCAGTTTTTAAAAGGTTGGTTTTTCTTTTGTTGAAATCGTGATCATATGAAATGATAGTTTAGTAGACAAACATGTTCATCTTAACAAATAACAAGTGGTTTCTATTAATTTAATGAGTTTATTTGATAGATATGTTGATTTGAATAGAAAGTAAAGGTTGAAGTACCTTAGTCTATGTTTTAGGTTCAGAATAAATGGCCTTTATGTTGCTAAATCAAATTTGTTAGGGTTGAAAGGTGCTGGAAGATGGCTTACAGTGGATGGAAACATGCAGGAGACACCATATTCGAGATTATATCCTTAACAAAAGTTGAGCAAAGATTGTAGATTTTTTTTCATTCACGTTATTTATATGTTCCTACCATACAAGAGATTGCCATGTATGCGGAAACTATTAAAAGAATTAAGGGATTAAGTTTATTTTGGCAGTCTTTCAAGTGACCGGAAAGTCTGTCATACCTCGGCATGGTACCACCACTTTGGTAAAAGCGTCATATAGTTTCCCTTTGTCTTATTTTGGGAGGTTCCTTTTGTTGTATGTATGGTGCAGTATACATTAAGCATTTTATGTTATGTGGGACAATGTTTGATGAAATTGAAATGTTGAAATAGGTTAATGTATCTTCATTTTCTTGTATATATCAAGTGCATTTTTCTATAGGAATAATGACTACTAATCAAAACCTATCGCAAACTATATAAGTTAAAAGATCACATTTAAATAAATTATCTTCTCCTTTGTAATTCAAACTTCTAAATCCAGGTTTGGTTTGTGATAAATTTATATGCTATCTATGTTTACTTTGGCTTTCTAATGACCCGGTTAGGAAATTAGATGTATTAGATTTGACTTATGTTAAGAAAGCTATTGGTTGACCCAAAAAGACTTGGTTAGAAAATATGAGAAATGACCTTTTTTTTTTTTTAGGTTTAAATGAGAATTTGACTCTTAACATCATAGTAGGATAAATGTTTGGTATTCTTGTTGTTGTTCTGCTGCTATGTTTACTTTGGCTGTGTTTTTTGAAGTTATTGATGGCTTTTTTAACTTGAATATTGGGGTTAAATGGCTTTTAAGCCATCTAGTTTTTACTGTAGATGTTACAACCTGAGATCTAAACTGGACCTTAATTATGTACATCAGAGGCTTAGATGGATATGAGTTGTATAATTCTCTAATTTTGAGATTGCTAATTTGTTTAAAATATGTGTTGGATACTAAATTTTATTATAAAATTTTAGTTGATCAACTTTTTGCAAAGTTGTGGTCATTGTCTTCATTCTCTATGTTGATCATCCTATTTCAAATCTGCCTGATAACATCAAGAGTTGTGTTGAGCCATTGATTGTCCTTGATGAACTTCATTCTTACTGCCACTACCCTCGAGTTTCTGATATAAATCTGCCCATCCTATTTAGATCATCGTTGGCATAGTCATTTGATTCAAATCTCTTTCAATATCAATATGCGTCATATGGTCTTCATTGTTTCCTCCATTATTACATGCACTCATCCCTTCACAAGGATCATAACCAAAACGCATAAAAGATGTTTTTCCTGCATTTTATAGGAAAAAGGAGGTTATTTTCCATCATGTGTTGCATTCGTCTCCAGCCATGCTCCATTATAAGATAATTCTTATATTCAGATGTCAGACTTTTAAATTAGCAAATAGTCTTCATATATTTATCAGTTATGTTACGTGCTTGAGGTAACAATCAAATTCTCAATATTAGAAGCATTAATTCCATTTGTTGCTTTGCATTAAATTTTGAGAAGATTGAAGTCTCAAGGTGTAAGGGATGGTGTTGAGAGGAAGAATTTACCTGTTTTCGTTATGGATTATTTTTTTTGCATGCTTTATGAAGTTATCAAATTCATGAGTTTTGGAATATTTTTCAAGTAGGCCAGTTTGTAGCAGAAGCTTTTAGCATTGTTGTCTTCCCTCTTAACAATAGTGCTGGCCTGTGGTTTGATCTGCACTTCCTCTCAATCTGCAGAAGGGTTCATACGATGCTGAAAACAAGATTATCATGCTGCAAAGTGAGCTTGTTGGAAATGCATCAAAGGTAGCTTGTTGGAAATGCATCGAAAGTGAATTCTTAGCTTTGTTTTTTATTTCCAGACTTCTAACTGTGCCAGAATCGAAAGCTCATCCTAGTAAAAAAATGCCTTAATTCTTTTGAAATTGGACCTGGAGGTAAATTCTTATACTTTAAGAAGCATTATTTCCCTATACTCGCAGGTGAAGGAAATAACCCGAGCCTTCAAGGTAGTGAATGACGAGCTATCATATGTTGTTCAGATGGCAACAAACATTACCAGTCTTCAGCCTCATCTTAAAGCTTTGCTCCGGAAGGTTTGAAATATTTATCCATATTTAAACTTGATACACGGGGTGCAAAAATGAGTCATGCAACAAGCATTACTATTGCTGTAATGTAAGTATCGTTGTATTTTATTTACTTATCAATAAGCTTAACTGGAAGATTACAACTATTTTGTTTAAGTAGAAGCTTATCATAAATGGCCAACCAACAGTATCCTATACTGAATCCGTAGACAGGATTGAAATCCAGCAGTACTGTTTTCCTTGCATTGAACAATGTTAAATAGGTTTCATTTGGTTAGCATCAAAGGTGTAAAATACTATCGGCTATTCCTCACCACTGAAATTGGCATTAGAATTCGTAGAGCATAGAAAACAGGTAATAGGCAGAAATCCTTTTACTCACATTTATAGCTTTTAGTAAATCTATTACAATATAACCATTGCCTTAAAATTAATAAATAATTTATATAAGCTACTGTGTTTCTTTCTAAAGATATGAATTGTTGGAGACCTACGGGTATTTTGACTATGTGCACAACCTGATAGGCCTTGTATTACAAAGACAATTTTTTTTGGGAGGAATTGAGAGCATAGCTCTTTATGTTGATTCAAAATGAGAGTACAAGTGTGGCGTTAGCACCATAGGAAACCTAAACAAAAAATACATTTATTATGGTCAAAATATTAAAACAGAAAAGAATAGGAAATTACATTAATAATGTGTTCAACGCTCAGTACAAGGATGTAAGAGCACATATATTGATGTTTTCTTAGGCCCACCGATCGGTTGCACAAAATGAGATGAGATTGGTTGATCAGTGTGTCCAAGTCTGCAGTGAATGGAAAACTATTATCATTGCTTCGATTGTTGATATATCTCGACGAAGCTTCTAAGCCCAAGCATCATAAGTCTTCTGTAAGCATCAAAAGAATATTCACCCGATGAGTTCAAAGTGAATATCACGTATAAAACTACCAAAAAATAGTACTCTAGTAGTGATGCCTATGTTGCACCGATACACCTATTTATGAAGGCATGCTGTATCCGATACACGGATACGCTTCCGATACTCCACTGATACGTGTCGGATACGCCAAAGACGTATCCAATTAAAATACTATTTAATTTCAAAAGGACATTCGTATCCGATACACGTGTCCGTTGAAAAACAAAAAGAAATCCGAAAAAAAAAGATGTGTCGTTTTTACTTCCGCGGCTGCGAGCAGATTTCTCTCATTTCCGAGATGGATTTGAGTCTCTTGATGATATGAGAATATTAGAAATTACTAATCTTTCACTTGATGAGCCTGAATTAAAAGCTATAATATTTATTGAAGTGTATATAGAAGTTCAAAGACAAACCACTGAAGGAGCTAATCATATCATTCCTTCTATTGAATAGTTGAAACTTTACGTGCTAGACAATTTATGTTTATGCTTTTGTTGTTGTACTAGACATTTAATGCTTCTTATATTTGATATTATAAGCTACAAGGCTACAAATGATGTTGTTGTCATTTTTTTTGTAATTTCAAATATTATGCTTTGATTGCTTTCTTAATTTTTATATATGATTTATAAATTATGATGCCGTGTCCGCGCCATACCCGTATCCTGTATTTTTAAGAATTGACGTGTCCCGTACGTGTCGCCGTATCCGTATCGGTGCAACATAGAGTGATGCAGAGGGCAATCGAACCAAAAAGGAAAGAATCAAACCAGTTTAGTAAACATTCAAGTTAGCACTGGATGTGGCAAAATATTTAGAAAAATATCATTCTATTTAGTTGAGCTCTTCAATCTGCAATTTTTTATTTTCAGGGCATTCTTGCATGCTTTAGATTCATTGTTTTGTGCTAGTAATATTCCCAACTTATCTTCTAGGATTTCTCTCCCTCCATATGTGATAAACAAAACAATGAATCTAAAGCAGGTAAATTTTTTTTTGCATCTTTGATGAACAATTTATGTCATCAATGAATTCGAGTAGTTGAGAATAGAAATATGTTCATTCAAGGGTGAATGGTTTTAAGGATTGTAATAGTGGTTGAACAAATGAAAAATAGGTGAATAATAGATTCATTTTCTTTATTACACAGATAGCACTTACTGTCACTAGGACTATTTCTTAAGGACAGCTGTTTTGAACCCATTATTAATAGCCAATCCTGAACAAATTTAAAAAAACAAAGCATACTTCTTGTGCCAAATCAGCTTCCACCAAATGACTTTTGAATGTTAAGCATACAGGCTCACAATGAAGTTTCTTATAGAAGGATTGCAATACCATTCCATATAAGCTGATTGGTCCCCTGAGAGCGGGGAGTAGGCAAGATGGTGTGGTGTAGAGATTGAAATGGCGTAGGGAGAGGTTGCAGCTTGACCTCAGGGCTGCAAAAGAAGGGAGACCATAAATGGAGTGCTTAAACTGTCAGCTAAAGTTTTGTCAATTATCTAAGGATCTTAAAACAAGGAGAAAGGATTTCCATTTGCAATAGTAGAGGTTATGCTCGAGGCAAGAGAGAGCTGAGGAGTGCAGTATTTCCAAAAAGGAGAGGTTTCAAGATCAAGGGGTCTCCAAAGGGATAAGTATTAGCTGTTCAACCATTTAGTAAGTAAAGTTTTGTTATCATGAAGCACCCAAATGAGTTTGCTTCTGAAAGCATTAGCTAGGTCAGAAATAGACGGATGTCACAAACCACCGTACTCCCTAGGCTTGCATATATTAACACAATATATTATATGCATTTTGTTGGCATGTGGGTTTTCAAATAAGACAAATTTGGTACATTATTTACTGATGTATTTGATAACTAAAATGGACAGACGAGCTCCGCCGCAAGAACGAGGCTTAAACTGATCACATGGTCTCTGAAATCACCATCGTTCACCTGTAACAGATGAAACAGATCACAAGCGCATTTGTATACACAAAATCCTATAAATACTCATGTACATCAAGCAATAATGAAATGAGAATAATGAGTATGCTGATTCATTCATACGCTACAGCTTTTAAATAATTCTCTTCTTCTTTGTCATTTTCTTTATGGTATCAGAGCCCAGACCTTAGTGAATACTGAAGATCACAGTGAGAGGTAAGAAATCTAAATACTTCTCATGGCCCAATCCTCTTCTTCCCAAATAGGAAACCCATCGACTGATCCACCAGTAGACTCAAGCACTATACCTGCATCCTTGAAATTTGTCATTTCAAATATTAAAATCATAGTGCCCACCTCATTATCAAATGATAATTACCCTATATGGAGATCCCAAGTAACCAAACTACTCAAAGCAAATGGTTGTGCCACTTTCATAGACACAACTATTTACCCACCACCCTGTCCCCAACAAACATCTGATGGGCTAACCATCACAAATCCCAAATATACCGAATGGGTTCTGATTGATCAGAACCTAGTAGCAGCCCATTGCTCCACTTTAACTCCATCCATACTACCATACGTTCTTCCCCTGGACTCATCCGCAGGCATCTGGACCACTGTTGAAAGACGATTGCAATCGTCCAATAGATAAAGAGTTATTCAACTCAAAAATGAATTACATAATTTTTCAATGAAACAACACACCATGGCTGAATACTTAAATGAAATCAAGACTCTGGTAGATAAAATAGCAGTAGCACGAGCCACCATCAACAAAAAGGATATAATCCTTTACACACTTAATGGTATACCACCAACCTACCATTCATTCAAAAGCACCATCTGCACCATGGTGCAACTACTATGTCTAGATGACTTATACGCATTTTTGATTAGTGAAGAAATCAATCTCAACGCTAAAGCAGCTAAACATTATAACCTTCCTGATCAGAACACAACATTATACTTTACCATAGGCAGAGGACGAAGAGGCAGAGGCTGCTTCACACCACAAAATGTCCATCCCACCATCCAACTGCTCCAATGTGTCAAATCTACAATAAGAAGGGACATTCAGCAACAAATTGCTGGCAAAGATTCAACATAAATTACACCCCTCCATAAAAAAATTCAATACATCTCTCACAGCCACCAATGACAACCCTAATCCGGATTGGTAGTTAGATTATGGTGCAACATCTTATCTCACCAATGAGATCAACAGCCTTACACTTGGTGATCCATTACCATACAATGGAACAGACAACATACTCATTGGAGATGGAAGCACATTACCTATAACACACACTGGAGCTGGACTTCTACTAACCCCTAACCGTAAGCTTCAATTACCTCAACTTCTTCATATCCCAACACTATTTCACAATCTTCTTTCTATTTATCATCTAACCAAAGACAGTAATATTTCCATTTCATTTGATGCTTATGGTTTCACTGTCAAGGATATCAAGACAAACGAAACCTTACTATAGGGTCCAAGCCGTAATGGGCTCTATCCAATCCCAGCTTACCCAAGCATCCCTCAACAATACGCCTCCTCAATAATAAACAATCACCAAGCTACAGCCGTAAGGCACAACAGAGTTGGACATCCCCACACCCGAACCATGGGAACCATCTCCAACACCAACAAACAACTCAACATACCTATCTTCTCTGCTTTATGTCCAGCATGTAAGGTCGCTAAAGGCCATAAACTACAATTTTCTATTTCTATTTCCCACTCTAAACTACCATTAGAACTTGTCCACTTAGATATATAGGGTCCTTCCCCAATCACCCACATCAGGGGTTTCGTTACTATGTCATTTTTATAGATGAGTTTTCCCATTTCGTATTGATTATTTTCATGACGTGTAAATTAGAAGTACCATCTATTTTCATCACATTTCACACCATGATCGAAAAACAAATACCATACAAAATCAAACAATTTCGATCAGATAGAGGAACAAAATATGTATACAGAACCTTACAAGCATATCTACAAAAAATAAGGCATTATTCACCAAATTTCATGTCCCTACATCCCAGAACAGAATGACATTGCTGAAAGGAAGCATAGACACCTCATTGAAACAACAAGAATCTTATTAAACACAGCTTCAATACCTTACTCTTACTGGCCAGATGTAGTAATCACAGCCTCCTACCTAATCAACATGCTTCCATCCCATACGAATCACAACAAATTCCCATTATAGATTCTATACAATAAAACCCCTGACTACACCATTATAAGAACCTTCGAATGTGTTTGCTTCCCGTGGATTCCTCCACACAACATGCATAAATTGGCTCCCAAAGCTTCCTCATGCATCTTTTTGGGATACTCCACATCTCATAAAGGATATAAATGCCTCAACCCAACCACAAACCATATAACCATTTCAAGGCAAGTAACCTTCCATTACACCACATTCCCATTTGCCCAAGCCACAATAACTCAAACATCCCAAACTATCATCCCAGCAAACCCTTTGCTCTTTAAACCCACCACCCAATCTACTACCATACCACTCACTCAAAATCCTGAACCACAAAACACCACTCCCACCACTCATTCATCTAACACCACCACACCAGCAGATACCTCCACCTCAGAATCATCCACATCAACACCCTACCCGCCCAAACCGCCACCAGTATCAACCCACCCAATGATAACAAGGTTCAAAATTGGATCCCTCAAACCAAAAACAATCCTAAACCTTTTACAATAACATTCCTAAACTCAAGATAACCAAACCCAAGATCCAACCACATGTCAGGAGGCATCCAAACACCAACACTGGAGACAAGCAATGACCACCGAATTTCTGGCATTACAACAACAAGCAACATGGACTTTGGTTCCACCCCCGATCAACACTCCCATTCTTTGCTGCAAATGGACATACAAAACCAAATACACTCCAATGGATCCATAGCAAGATACAAGGCTCGATTGGTAGCCAAGTTCATTTGCAGCGAAGTCCTATCTTGAAACATTTAGTCCAATATCCAAGTCCTCAACCATCCAGATATTACTCACAATTGCTTTTAACACAAATTGGGAAGTCCTCCAGCTAGATGTGGCTAATGCCTTCTTACACGGAAAATTGACAGATACTATATATATGAGACAATCTCAAGGATATGAGGACAATCAACATCGACGACATCTTGCTCACAGGTAACAACATCTCAAGCATCATAATGAAACTACATAACACATTTTCTATGAAACATTTAGGCACAACCAATAATTTTCTTGGCATCAACATCACAACCCATGACAAATCTCTATTTCTCTCTAAAACTCATTATGCCTCATCTATTCTTAACATAGTAGGACTCAACCTTTGTAAACCACTATCAAACCCCTCATGTACAAATCCACCACAAAACATACCTCCCGACCCCATCCTCACCGACCCTCACACATGCAGACAACTCACCGGATCTCTACAATTCCTCACCATCACAAGACCAGACATTGCATATCAAGTAAACCTACTATGTCAACACATGCACAACCCGCAACCATATCATGCATACCTCCTCAAAAGGTTAATCGGGTACATCAAAAGCACGATCGACTATGGTATACCGATTTCCTTGGGAGACTTCAACTTCACTCATACTCAGACGCAGTCTGGGCGAGTGAGACAGAGACAAGGAAATCCACATCAGGATATTGCTCATTCCTCGGCAACACACTGATCTCATGGAGCGTCAAGAAACAACATACCATTGCAAGATCATCCACGGAGGCAGAATACAGAGCCCTGGCTACAGTTATCACAGACAACATATGGCTACGCTAGTTGCTACAAGATTTTAAAGTACCTATATTGCAACCGACGGATCTTCAATGCGACAACATTTCAACCATAGCACTAGCCTACAATCTCGTCTTCCATGCAAGGACGAAACGAAGAAATCGACCATCGCTTCATTCGACACCAGATCCACTCGAACATCATACGAGTTCATTCGATTAGCACCCAAGATCAGGTAGCCGACATCCTCTCAAACCTCTCTCCATTACGTGCTTCCATCTGCTTCGCGCCAAGATGAGAGTTCACAAGAATCCCTCAGCTTTAGGGGGGATAAAAAATACAGATAAGCTCCGCCGCAAGAACGAGGTTTAAACTGATCACATGGCCTCTGAAATCACCACCGTTCACCTCTAACATATGAAACAAATCACAGCCGCATATGTATACATAGAATCCTATAAATACCCATGTACATCAGGCAATAATGAAATGAGAATAATGAGTATGTTGAGTCATTCATACGCTACAACTTTTCAATAATCCTCTTCTTCTTTGTCATTTTCTTTAATAACACCTTTATGAACAAGAATAGATTTTACCCAATAAGCAATAAGACCCTAAATAGAAAATTTAAGTAATTAGAACCTGCTAGCCATAGATAGAAATTTGGCTTTCCAACCATCAAGCATAGAATGGATATTTTCAAGAAGGGTTAGCAGGTCGGTCAATTTCGATCTATAGGCAATGAGAGGCAGCCCCAGGTAGCTAAAGTTAAGATGGGCAATGTTAAAATCAATCAATGTTGCAGGGTTGGCTTGGTTAGGAACACTTTTAAGAAAACAAATTCTGCTCTTTGTGGGGTTAGCCTCTAGATTTGTGGCCCATTTAAAACGGTAGAGGATTTGATTTTGATTTTGTTTAGGGGACTATCCTTTGAAAAAATTTTTTTAGTAGAAAGCTGCCTTAAAAAGTTGTAAGAAAGTTGTACCAAATGAAGCTTTAATACAACAATGTTATGGTAGGATGCCTTGCCAAAAACAATAACATCATTAGTATCTCGTAGGTGAGAGAGCAGATCTTGCCCAAGTGGGAGGAGATACTGTTGAAAGTGCCATAAGCATAGAGAGAGCAGGTCTTGCCCAAGTGGTTGGAGACGCAAGCCATATCATTACTTATTTGGATAGATGAAAAAATTGTAGGCGCTCTTTACATAAATACGATTGGGAGTATCTTTTTTGTGAGACATGGGTCGTTAAACATGTGCTTTAAAACAATGGCTTGAAGCAATGAAATGGTTAAAATAATTAGGTTCAATTCAACTTGTTAAGATTGAAAACACATAATATCATGCAACTAAAATTATGATCAATTTTCTTAATTAAGATAATAGTGACATAATTAAACATTATTAACAAATTCAATAAATGTATAAGAAATTTAGGATCATATGGATTTGCCATGGTCATAAGTTATCAAGTTCATTAAAATTACAAATTTATGCATGTGATTAGAAATAATATAATAAATTAATTTTGTTTCTTATATTATTAAATTAGGAATATTTTAAGTTACATAAATTCTCAAAATAAAATAAAATTTTTCTAACTTCAAAATATTTTTTTAGTAAGCATAATTAAAATTTAATCAATTTTAATTTTGTGGTCATTATTTTGGAGATTATAGAAATTTCTACTAAATTAATATGAAATGGGAAACATCAAAACACACTCACTAGACTATTAAATTTTAGAATCTTGAACTTAAACTGAGTTTTTTCATGAATTGTAGTTGTACATCTTTAGTTTTTTCAAGAAGCGGGAGAATGACTTGAGGCGGTAGGGGTGTGTTTTTCCCCATAGTTGAAGGCCTCTCTCGCTAGCTGGTTTTCACTGGATCCCGCACAAGCAAGCTCACGAGATCCCCCTCTCTCCCTAGCTCTCTTTTTCAACCAGCCTCAGCAAAACCCAAGCCACCCTTGCCCTGTTCCTCTTGTTCGCACACCCCAGATCGGACAGCTCTCTTCTCTCTTGTGCGACCGAACCGGCAAAGAGCCCGTGCCCTAGTCAGTCCTGCTCGAGATCCCATTCATGATCCCTCTGCTTCCTCTCTCTCTCTCTCTCTCAAACGAGCTAAGAAGGTTGTATCAAGGGGTGGGTCCAGTAGAGGATTTGAAACCCCTTATAGTCCAATCCACCCAAATTCTACTTGTGGAGCAAACTTAAAGAGGAGAATGAGTGCAGTGGCACACAACAATCACCATGTCATTTTACTTGTGAGCATATTCATACTCCAAATGATTGGATATTGCTCATAGGTTTGATTTAATCATTTCTTTGAATAAGTAATTGTGTAATTATTTTTATGATGTGTTATGTACAGACGAGCAGGGTGTACCTGTATGTCGTAGGGGGCACACCACATGCATTGTCATACATAAAATGCCGCCATGTACACGTGTTCATGTAGAGGTGAATGAGAATAATGTGTCAAGCAACATTTTAGAGTCTGCTTTATTAGGATCATATCTAGGTGTCATTGCTAGAGATCCTGTACTGGCACCTATATCTTTCCCAGATTAGAGAAATAAGGGTTGGAGCTATTTAATAAAAAAATATTAGCTGAAGTCGAGGTAAGAAAAATATTAATTAAGTTTTAATATTAAGGTTTAAGTTATGAGTAATAAAATATTTCTTTATATTACAGTCAAAGTTTTCATTTCCTGGACATATATGTCACTGGATTCTTCAATCCATTGGAGTTAAGTGCCGTAACCATAAGACTAATTTAAAATCTGAGCATTGGGATAGTCGTCCTATCGAGGAGTCTATTCCAGCTGGTGTTGATGCAGCACAGTGGTGTGTCAGCTAGTCACCAAGTTGTCGCAACAAAAAGACAAGGTTAGTACCATCATCATATTTAATTATATATAGTTTACAAATCAACATGGAGTTAGATTCATATGTAACAGAAGACAGTCTCCATAAATGCTACAAATGCAAATAAACAGACTTGTCCTCACACTATAGGGCGTGTGAGTTCTATTCTCAAGCAACAATAGATGGTATATATCTAGATTTATATAAATTTTATATTCACATTTACTAAATAATTACTTAATGATCAAATTTATTGTTATAGGCTATCAAGGATAGATTACTATTACGGAGAATGAACATATTACACAAAAATGACACCTGGTCATCTGAAGATGCTAAACAGAGATGGGTAATTTTAGTCTAGCTATAAATTTTTTTATACGTAATTCATTATTATTTTTTGTTTACTTAAAATAAAAGTTAACTAAATTTATTATAACATAGATATAAGCTTGCGATCTTTTGGCTGAGGATGGCTGACACCAAAGGATGGGAATGTGGTGGCTAACAAAATGGTGTTCAGTATAGTTATGGGACATGAATACTCAGGCAGAGTCAGAACCCAATGGTTCGGCGTCACTCATACACGATATTTTTCTCATAGCATAAGCGGGGGCAGGAGTAGTGATGGAAGCAGTTTAAGTCAAATAGTAAATCTAAGAGCGGAGGTCAACTCATTATGTACTGAAATGAGGGAATTCATGCAACAATTTCAAATGCAGCATCCACCTGAAGGAAGCTCACAAATGTTATGTAAAATTTCACATTCTAATTTTAATGTTGGTCATTTGAATACTAATATTTTACAATCTTGTTATAATTGATAGGGTGGCAATGAAACTTCTTCTGAAATATGATGTTATGGGAAAGAGAAAGACAATTTGAAGATAACCCATATTTGTGCAAATTGTTTTGAAGTACATGCTGGTATGAAAGTCTGTTTTTTTGGAATGTTGCTCAGAGTTTTGGTGTTGTAGGTTAAGAAACATGAATGATGGACGCTCTTCTCTTTTTGACGTATCAATGGCTTAAAAAGTTTCACTGGAGATTATCTGGTGTTATTTCTATTTTTTGATGGCTATTACTTGATTGATTTAAGAACTTTTCACATCTCTTATATATACTTTATACATTAAGGTTTTGTAAGTTATATATGTGGAGGAACTCCTCCCTCTTCAGTACTTGAATCTCTTTGAGAAACTGATGATTTTGACAATTCTAATTATAATTTTTTTATTGAAAAACATAAACAAGATATAACAAAAAATAATTATTTTAAATGAAACATATATCTGAATTGCTACAGATATCTTTTAATAATAATATAATTGTATTAAAGGAAGCTGATCTTTAAAATTTCGTGACAGAAGTTGCCAACAATATATCTCTTATAATGCAGGAAAGCATCTGGTTGAATTATGCAAGGCTAAATACCCTATATATACATCTGTCAAATCCGTATACGATCACTTGATTATTAATTCCTTGAATACTCAACACCTAAAATCTGAGCTTTCTCAAACAAATAAACGATCTCTATTGTCTTCCAATATGATATTATCACCGAAATGTTAGTATATTGCCATTTATTTAGATCTTCCAAATGTTACTTTCAATGGATAGTTTGCCATTTAATTGTTTCTTAAGAACCACAAACATATTTGTGGGTGGTTTTCAACGTGTTTACTTGCATGCACTTATTTTACATTTGAAAGTTTTTCTTGGGCTCAATATTATGATTCAAATATTTGGTCAATGTCTTTTGATCGTTTGTACGTAGAGATAAGTTGTTGATAAATATTTATATCATATCAATTTTAAATAATTAGTTGCTGATGTATATGTATATTGGATCACATATGCATGCTTGTTTTGTTTTGTTTTTTCTTTTAGATACAAAACAATTATGGCAGTTATAATTGCCATAATTATACATATTTGTAGCGGTTAAAACAACCACAATTTTGGAATCAGTTTATTTTGAACATATTATAGACGGTTATAATTGTTTCAAATCTATAGGTTTGCACAGGTTATAACCGCTGCAAAAACTATCGCTTAGTCGAAAGTATCCTTTCGGTCCATAAACCGCTCTGGAATGTTGTTGCAGTGTATAGAAATTACAGCGGGGCTGCAACGGTTTTGAAACCGCTGCAAAGAAACTAGTGGCAGTTATAACCACCAGGATAACTCCAAAAAAGTGTTGCGATGGCCTTATATATAGGTTTAAAAGATTCATATTCGTGTTATCGTGTTAATTTGATTGTATTGATAAAAAAAAATTATATGATTCATATAATAAATGAGTTAGAAGAGACAAGTTCAGGTCAAATATTTTGACCCATTTAACAAATTAGTCTCTAGTTTGATTCAAGCATATTCAATTCGACTCAACTTCATATCAAATTCAAATTTGACCCGACAATTCAATTAACACCCCTAAGATAAATTTATTCTCACACTGGTTGATGAAAAAAGTAGCTCAAACACATTACGACTATCTAAATCGGGTCACAGGTCGGGTTTGGGTTCAACCCGGAATTGACTCGATACTTGTTGACCCGACCCGAACCCTACCCGTTTTTAAAAACAGGTCACTTTCTCAAACTCTAACCCATCTTGCTTAGGATCTGGTTCAACTTGACACGACCTCCCAAGTGCCAACCCTGTGCATGCGTTCTTCGTCAAAGGAGGTGTTGCTACTGTTGAATAAACCGGAAGGAACATCGTTGAAGGTGGCGTTGGCTAGTTTCGCAACTCGCGGCTGTGAGCTGCTTCAGGCGGCGGCAAGTTGCCAAATGACGGTGGTGGCGATGCAAAGATTATGGCGAGTTGGATATTTGTTTTTTGGGCCACAACGAGCATCTTATATGTAGTTTCTATAACACGCAAGACCTACAAGTACTTTTATCCTTCAACATGAAAAAAAAGTATAAACATCCTCTAACTCTAGGAATTTAAGGGTGCATTTAGGACGGATGCAGTTGTCGCTAAAGCAGTTGTGATGTTGATGCACAGAAAGTTATTTTCTGATGTTGCTGTATAAAAATCAATATATTTTGTTTAGGAAGTATAACAGTTTATCAGTTGTGATATAGTTGGATGAGCATAAATTACTTTGATACACTTATATATATATTTAGATGAGAATAAAATTATAGTAAAACTTCATGAGCCAAATATTAAGAGTCAAATTATCATTCAAATCAAATTAAAAAGTGGAGTTAAAAAAAGAAACAAGGAATGACAAACCCAAAAATTCCAACAATGGGGAATTTACGACATTTTTTCCCTTCAAAACCGCGGAACGTAGCTGATCGAGGGAGGTACTGAAAGGTCGTGGGAAGCAGTGACGGGCCGCAAAAATTTTCCTAACCCGGTTCTTACGCAATTCCTCAAATCCACATTTAATAATTTTTTATGTAGCAAAGCAATATGGAAGCCATCCCAAATGGAACCTAAGTCATCCTCGTAAAAGCAATTGAAATTGATGATGCCTATTAATGAAAATTATATTATATGATCATAAAAAGGAAGAAATAATGCCTAACTTATTTCATGATAATATATGGCAGTCAAATAGGCAAAATTTTAAAAAGCGGATGAGTTATTAAAATTAGCATAAGGAGCGTAACTAGAGAATAATTTTAAAAGAATTATAATTGTCAAAATATTTTGGCACATTTTGAATGCGTCAAAATATTTGGCACATTCTATATGCGCCATAATATTTGACACATTCAACTTGTGAGAGAGAGAGACTATGATGCATCGACACGGACACGAGACACGACATTTTTTAAAAATATAGGACACGAGTGCGGCGTGGACACGGCATAATAATTTTTTAATATAATATATAGAAATTAAGGTAACATTATATTAAAAATGGCGAGCAATATTAAATTAAAGTTATGATAACTTGTTTAGCTTATTACATAAAGATGTTTAGTACAAAAATGTCTAGTACAACCATAAAAATATAAGCAAAAAATTATTTAGTAGAACCACAAAAATAAACATTGGGCACTTCTCTGTAACGATTATGAAATTAATGAGTGGTCTTCTTTGAGGATCAGTCCAACCATCACACATAAAAGTGACTCCTTTTTCTTTCCACACACCTTTTGTTGGTTCAAGCAATGTTTCAATATGTGCTTTTTCCCTTTCCAATAATTTTGATCTTAATGCATTGTAGTCAGGTGGAACATAACTTGCAAGGTTGTTATTACATACAAAAGTGAATGTATTTTTGTAATGAGGATTTCTTGCAAGGTTGAAAGGAAGTCCAGCTGAAAAAAACATCCTTGCAATTTCACCTTCCAATTCTTCTCACAGTTGTATGTTAAAAGCCTTCTCTAAAGCACTACTTGCAACTCCTTTTCTTTTCTTTGAATCATATCCTTCACTTCTATATGATAATGAATGATCAACTCTAACGTATGAGGAAGAATTGTGGGATGAACCATGGGTAGATGGCAAAGATATCTCTTTAGGAAGTGCCCTTTTGATCCTATATTCAGCTTCATCAACTTAACTATTCAATTCAATCAACTGTGACGTAGTAATCTTAGGACACATTTTAATTCCATGGCCAGAAATCTTAAGAAGATGTGCTTTCACCCTAGAATAAGATCATTTGTAGGTGCCACCACAGTAATTGCATTTAAATGACACATTCCCTCCTTCAAAAGTTTTTCCTAACTTTATAACATAATCCATAATAGCTTATCAAGTTCTACAGATGGCTCTTTTGAACCACTCCCACCAGTACTAGAGCTCATTTTAATTTTAAAATCACTGGTAAAGTAGAAGAAATAAATACTTATAGTAAAACAATTAAAAATTGTCAAACAAAGTTAACAAATAATTAAATAACTATTGCATCATGCGTTATGACTATCTGACTAAAAATAATTAAAAATTTGCAACTATGCCGGGGATCCAAGGGGGCGCTGCCCCCCGGCGGGGTTCGATAAAAGCGCATTAAAAACGCAGCAAATGCGCAGCAAAAGCGAAGTGAAAACGCAACAAAAACGCAGTTAAAACACAACAAAAGCGCACTTAATGCGCAGTGAAAGCACAACAAAAGCGTAGTTAAAGCGCTTTAAATAAATAAATTTTTATTGTAAGAATAATTTTAATCCAAAACAAATAAAATATTTTTTAAACAATATGCTTTTCTGATCACAAATATACATAATCATTGATAAATAAAGAGAAATGGCGAATGGAGAAAAAAATCACGAAATCAACTTACATGTTTGAAAAATTTTCTGCGGATTGGCATCGACTTCCCTTAGCTACGCCCAGAAACTGAGGATGACTAGTTGCTTATGGTTGTAAGGGGAGACCAAGGGTGCGATCTCCAGTCGTCTGCTGCTCGCCTCAATCGCTTGGGAAGACCACAAATATGAATAAGAATACGGAGTTAAGGAGAAGATGAAGATTCGGGTGTGAACCGGCTAATATGAAATAGCGGGATTAGATTTTTTTATTTATTTAATTATATAATAGTGTCCGACATGCGTGTACGGTTTAATTTTTTTTTTTAAATGGGACACACTAGTGACGTGTCCGACACGTTTCCTCGCCATGTCGGATGCGTGTCCGTAACCAACACGTGTCCGACACTGCATACCCTTTTAAAACGAAGTGTTGGTGCATCAGAGGAGAGAGAGAGAGAGAGGAAGGAAGAGGGAGATGATAGGAGAGTATTTTTTTATATAATATTATACTTTTTGTATGTAATATTATTTAAATATTATTTTTATATATTATTATTTAAATATCATTTATAAAATATTACTTAAATATTATATAAAAAATTTAAATTTAAATTATTAATGATAATTATTTATTTTAATTAATTTTTATAATTAATTAGTAATATTTAAAATATTATTTAAAAATTATATTTAAATAATATTAAATAAAAAAATACTCTCCCTCCCTCTCTTTCTCATAGTCTCTCCCATCTCTCTCTCATGTTGAATGTGTCAATGTTTTGACGATTATGCTTCTTTTTAAATTATTCACCAATTATGTTCCATTCGTTAATTTCATTTGCTCCATAAAATTTGTCACAACCCGACCCGGCAAGCCCGAATTAACGGGGCGGGAACAGACAGTCGTACGGGAAAATATCATAACATAAACATATTCATTTCATATAAACTTTTATAACAAAATTTAAATATCCTCAACACATAAAATAAGAAAGAGCCACTAAGAAAACATCAATACCATAATTGTCCAAATTTAGTTCTTCTCATACAACTACTAAAAACTTAAATCATCAACATTTACATAAAATCCCATAAATTACACAGATATATATCAAAGACTCAACAAAAAACATAAAACATAAAAACCTTTCTTCTTCTCAAGATCCTCTACGACGGTAGGTATACTGCTGCCTTGTAGCAATTACTTCTTAATAATTTCTCCTAAAAAATATTTTCAAACATAGGATGAGCCAACGCTCAGCAGGTAATATGTATTTATCTCAAATTCATGACTTAACTAAAAATAAAATATCATTTATTTTTCATTCATAACTAAAATCAAACATTTATATGCATAAACTGGATAGCCTTTTCATACAAAAGTTTCTTTAAATGTTTCCTTAAATATTTTCATTCTTCATAAACTTTTCCTTTAATTTACTTTTCTTTTCATCATAACCTTTCATTGTATGCATAAAATATTTATTCATAAATTATACACCCGTCTCGGAAATACTAGTATTTGTACTGATCAGGTACACAGTCTTTTAGCCATTTCATTTACCATTTGGTTCCGAAGAACCCATTACCATTTGGCTTTTGCAAGCCTCTTTATCATTTGACTCCGTAGAATCTCATTACCATTTTGGCACTTCCGGATCAACATTCACATGTAATTATATTAGACCTCATAAGACTTAAGTTATTCAGACATTCATATGTGTTCGTTTAATTCGTTTCATGCATAATTGTTCTCATGTCTACCTAAAATTTCCAATTATGAGACAATAAGCAATTATAAAATCTTTCTTGCATAATAACATAAATAAAACTCAAACATTTGATAATTGCATGAATTAGAACATTTACATACTAAACATGACATGTTTTATTTAACATAAAAGAAAATTTAAAAAATTTAGAGACATAAATTTGATTTAAATACAAGTACATACCTCCCTTACGCAAGGTACTTCCTCAAAGTGTTGCTTCGACACAGCTCTTTTACCTTAATGACCATAACCTAAGAAAAATTTACAAAAGAGACGTGACACATAATTTAATATTCATTAAGGTTCAATCTAAGTCCTTAGCTTAAACCCATCGTTTTCCCATTAACTATTCCTTACGATACTTAATGAATTTTAATTAAATTAATCTTAATTTTCGGATTTAATTAAATTTTAATTTTCGGAAAATCATAAATCATACATTTTATCAATTTATTGCTCCAAAATTATTCCTAAACATATATTTATAATTATATTGTTAATTTTCGGATTAAATAAATTAGGAAATTACAAAAAAATGAGATTTTCACCAAAAATCAAAATTTTTGTTTTAAAATCATTCCTAAGGCCCTTAGAAACAATTTTTTGTAAAAATATTTTAAGGAATTAAAATTTTTGTGAAAACCCTAACCTTCCGATTTTTAAAATTTCCTCCAAACCTTCATTTCTACTGTTAAAAAGATCTCATAATCCTTCCCTATATATTCCTTAAAAAAAATTTGGAAGAAAACGAGAATTTGGAAAAACCTTAGAAATTTTTTTTGCAACATACTTGAGATCTAAAGAGATTCGTTTCGAAACAATTGTACCTTAAGGTTTCCCTCGTCGTCCTCTTCGATTCACACTAATTTCTTCGCCGAAAAATCGTCGCCGGAGAGGAGCCTGTCGCCCGACCGTCCGCCCCCTTTTGTTTTCCGCCGAACCGTGCATGAAATGGGAAAGAGGGGTTCAGTTGGCTCATATTAGGGAGATGGGAATTGCTAAAAACTCATATGCCCTCACTTAAAAAATTTTAGCCTTCTATTCGCTTAGGGGTAAAATCGGCATTTAGAGATTTCCAAAATTTTTATCTCTTAAAATACTCTAAATTAATTATAAGTTCTATACATCAATTTGATCAGAATTTTAAGTAGGATTTTATAAAATTATTTCCATCAAATTCCGTTAACTTCAAAAATTTCACTTAAGTTTCGTCGCGACGCATCGAAAAGCATGCGACGACCTACGATCGTCGTTTTCGGGTTTTACATTTTGCCCCTCAAATATTACTGCCAGAGAAACATTAACAGAATTCCATAAAATCCTTCGGAGAATTACAGTCTCTTCTATCATCCGTTTAATCCACATGAAAAGAGGCTACTTTTTTTTATATAGGTCTTTATTATGCAAAATTTAGTAATGCAATAACAATTATTTGTACATTAAAAACATATAAAAGTCTCACTACCAAATACAAGCTAGAATACTGGAGAAACAAATAAAGGGGTTTATAGATCAAGCATGCATTCCATTCTCACCAATTTGGATTTTAAGCGTAAAACAAAGAATGCTCTCTTTCAATTTCTGTATAGATCAGACGATATATAGACCTTTCTATTAATAATACACAACCTAAAAATACTCAAAATCAACTTGTGAGGTAGGAGGATTTTCAGCCGTAGCCTTCTTCTTTCTACCTGTAATATCTTTGCTCGCAAATTGCCCAAAGTCCACCATTTCTGGAACATGTGGTGGCTGCAAGCTTCTCACCAATGCCCAGTTTACTCCATCAAAAAAATGATGCTGCTTTATTTCTGTCGCACCTCTACGGCAAGCTATCCTTCTCTGCGGATCCTTAACAAGAAGGCTTCGGATGAGATCTCGCGCACTCCTGCTTATAACTGGTTCCTCTGGAAACCTCAATGGCTGTCCAATAACATTCAGGAGAGTATCTCGATTCCCCGAACCTTTGAAGGGAGTAGTTCCATAGATCATTTCGTAGATGAAGATGCCGAAGGTCCACCAGTCAACTGCACTACCATGGCCTTCTCCTCGGATGATCTCCGGCGCCAAATACTCGTGTGTTCCGACGAAAGACATCGATCGAGCATTTGTTGGTTCTGCTAACAATTCTGGAAGAAGCCCAGCACCGGGGCCAAAATCTGATTTTGACTTTCGATTCCTTTTCGGGATTATACGCGGAAAGAGTACTGTTGGCTGCATGCAGCCCTGTATGGATCCATCGGCATCGAGCAAGCATTCAAGATCTCTAGAGCTTTCTCCATGTAAAGATGAAGACTTGACTAGTGTTGGATTTACAGAGCACTGGAAAGAGAGGTCGAAGTCTGATAGCATAATGTGCCCCTCCTCTCTAACAAGAACATTCTCAGGTTTCAAGTCTCTGTATACAATTCCTAGCATATGCAGGTACTCCAGTGCAAGCAATACTTCTGAAGCATAAAACCTGAAACCATGCAGTTAACTTAGCCTATTTTTATTCTTTAAAGGTATAAATTGGCTATGATCAAAATATTTCAATTAGAAGTTAGTTGCTTTGAGAGTTTTTTTTTTTTTTTAAAGAAAACCAACTACTTAAAACCAACATGAACCAGTAATTTAAAAAAAGAAAATAAATTATGTTTTTTAACTGTTAGAGAATAGGTGACCGTTAGAAGCACTTATTAAGCAAAATGTACATCTTAAGAGGTCTGGAGCAAAATCATTATCAATGAAATTGGTCAAATTACTGAATTCAATGAGATTGATGAGATTTTTAGAGTAATTTCATAATCTTAACATAACAATTTCCTAAATCCAACACAATAACAGAGTTTACCGTGTAGTGTTAACTGGAGAAGAAAATTTGTGAAGATGTGCAAATGCTTGAAGCATTTTAGTAATCTTTATTTCTGAAGTATGCAACGAAGAACTGCAGGTTAGATTTAGAGTAATCTCTTTTAATTCTAATCATCACATGCCATATAAGTCGTTAGCAGCGCTGAAATTTGCTTCATGCTTTCAAACATATAAGCTTAAAAAAAAGGGAAATTAAGTTGTATGAAATGAGAACAGTAGATCCAAGTCACCTAAAGATGAATGCACATGGACGAACCCATAGTTTTATAATGTCATCCTTGTTTTGCATCATTTTGCAAATATTTAATTTTTTAACAAGGGAAATGATTTGGTCCCCCAAAGAATCTTGGCCATTTAAAGATTTGGCTCAATGTGTCTTGCTATTGTTTAATACTTGACCCTTTAAATATTTGGTTCTATGTGTCTATGCAAATGGATTCTTCTTTTGACTCAATCAACAACTCTAATTCTTGAACATCTACATCTTCAATTAAGGAAGTTCTTATATGACCCCTGTTTAATATGGAGCCAAACTTTTTCTTTGGAACTTTATTTTGGTGAAGTACGTTGTCTTATCAGGCATGTGCTGTTGTTTATTCAGCTCCACGTTTCACCCGCAGCTCAACAACCTAAGTACATGGTTTAATTTTGGGAGTTGATCCTCTGTGCTTAGGATCTGAACCATTGGGTTCACCATTAGTACTAAGCATACAACTATATATACACCATGTATTTGTAAAATAGCAATAGACATACAATGGTTTTTACTGTGTTGTGTTCTATCTTCTTATTTTCTATTCTCTAGGGGTACTAAAGTTCATTATGGTATCAGAGCATACCAGGTCCTAATTTTTTTCTCTTCTTCCATTCTTCTCATGTTTGTCAATAAATCTTCTTCTACTGCCTCGACACTGCTATCCCAGTCTACGACAGATGTCCCTATCCCTCCCCAGCTGAAATTCCTTATGTCTAATGTAAAGCGATACTGACTACCCAGCTGACAGCAGACAACTACTCCATTTGGCATTCTCAAACCTTAAAACTACTCGTTGCTAATGGATTTGCTAGCTATTTGGATGGTTCCATTACAAAACCTCCATAGAAGATTCTCCTCTCTGATAGTACCATCATTGTCAATCCTACGCATGCTACATGAGTGCTCATAGATCAAAATCTTGCCTTTTCCCTCTTCTCCACCCTTTATCCATCCCTGCTTCTGTATGTTCTCAATCTTGGCACTAATCAAGTCATTTAACTTGCTTTGGAATGCTGCATGCAATCCACCAGCATGTCTCATATCCTTCAACTAAAAAATGAGCTTCATCAGCTTCAATTGCACTACAAGTCCATGCTGTAGTACCTATCAGACATCAAACAATGTGTAGATGCCATTACCGTTGTTGGCTCCACCATTGAACTTGAAGACATTATACTGTATACCCTCAATGGCTTTCCTCCTTTCTATAATACATTCAAAACAACCATAAACACTAAACTACATCTCGTTAGATTGGATGATTTATATGCTCGTCTTTGCAGTGAAGAAATCATTATCGCAGTTGACCACACTATAGAATATTATCTCCTCTCTCACACAGACTCTGCTTACGTTCTTGTCGCCTTCCGCAGACGGTCCCGTGGTGTAGTCATGGCTGATTTAGCAATTTTCATGGTGGCCAATCTTCTCCCTTACCATCTCGTGGTGGCCGATGTTCCAATACACCATTGGAGTGTCAAATTTGTGGCAAATTTAGACACTTTGCTACTTCCTGTTGGCACCGTACCAATTTATCTTGCCAACATCCACCAACTACAACGCTCTTTGCGCATGATGATGCCTCTAATGCCGACAGTTTTTTGGACTCTGGTGCCTCCACTCATCTTAGATTTGAATCCTCACAGCTTCAGTCTTTACAACCTTACTCAGGAAGCTCCCAGGTATAGATTGGAAATGGAAGCTATTGCTCATTCGGGTAAAGGCATCCTACCTACACTTGCTCGTATGCTTCTTTTGCCTCACATTCTTCATGTCCCACAACTCACTCATAACCTCCTCTTCCTTCATCGTCTCATTCATGATAAATGTTGCTACATTTTATTTGATTATAATGGATTCAATATTAAGGATTCGAAGACCCACAAGATTCTACTCTAGCGAGCCAGTCTACAAGGTCTTTACCCTATTAAATCAACTATGGCTACCACAAAGTTCCACAACCTCACAACTCACCTATTGCTCTTCTCAATCTATCTACCAGTAGTCTGCAATGGCCCAATCGACTCGACCATCCTTCCACTACGCAAAGATTGCTATCCACCAATTTTTCAGTCGGCAAATCAACTACTAACTCCTGCGAGCAAGCAAATAGTCATAAACTTCTATTTCCTATAGCCTCTCCTAAAACTACTAGATGTTTAGAACTTCTACATACAGATGTATGGGGTCCTTCCCCAATATTATCTAATCAAAATTTCAAATATTATCTAATTTTGTTGATGACTTTACACGGTTTACTTGGGACATTCCCACTTAAATTCAAATATGATGTTTTAACCACCTGCTTTACCCTCAAAAAGCTTGTGAAAAACAATTGGAAAAACATATTAAAATGATACAATCTGGCATAGGTGGTGAATTTGTAAACATGAACTTTCACAAATGTCTTCAATCCTTTGGAATACTGCATTGCCTTACTTGCCCCTACACTCCCCAACAAAATGGAGTTGTTGAATGAAAACACAAACATATTTTGGAAACAAAGCTTGCTCTCTATTCCATGCAAATATTCCACATCTCTATTTGGATAATACTTTACTCACTGTTGACTATTTAATCAACCGCTTACCTTCTAAATTTATCAATAAACTATTGCCATATGAATGGTTATACAAACAAGTGCCTGACTAAACCCATCTTTGTGTGTTCGTTTGCTTATGCTATCCTTTGCTCTCCCCCCGGCACAAATTCTATCCTCACTCTCTTCCCTGCATTTTTCTTAGTTATGCCATGCAATCCAAAAACTACAAATGCTTGGATATCTCTACAGGTCACATATATCTTTCTCGACTTGTGTAATTCTTTGAAACCAAGTTTCCTCTCAAAATTGCTCATTCCACGCATCCAAAGTCTCCCACCCATCATGTTCTACCACTTACCCTGGTTCCTATGTATGCTGGTCCTACTAGCTCATCTATACCCCCATCCTCTATTCCCTCCATTCTTACTAACTAGTCCACTCAATCCTCACACAACATACCACCCACCACTCCCTTAGTTCCACCTACTATATCTTCTCCTATATCCATATCGCGGGCTCCTCAACCCCCTCGGCATCACATGCTAACTCGTTGCCAAACATGTCACCTTATGCCTAAAACCAATTTTGACTTACAACATACCATATTTCCTCTATCCCCAACCTCATTCACCAAATAAAAATAAGTACTCTATTTAACAATCTAGTATGTTAGCTAAATTTCAAGCTCTCCAGCATCAATGCACTTGATCACTCATTCCTCCCATCGGTAATAAGAATATACTTGGTTGCAAATAATTGTTCAAAATTAAAATGCACCCTAACAACTCGATTGCTCACCATAAGGCCCGACTTGTGGCACAAGGCTTTAAATAGGAATACAATATTGATTATACAAATACCTTAAGTCATGTGGAAAAATTCCTACCATTATCTTGCTTCTAACTGTAGCCACAACATTTAAGTGGACTATCTCACATTTAGATGTTTCAAACGTCATCCTTTATGGCACTTTAAATGAAACAATCTTAGTGAAACAGTCACCTGGATTTCAAGATAATCAGTATCCTACTCATGTTTAGCACCTGCATAAAGCCATATATGAGCTAAAACAATCACTCCATCAATGGTTCTCTACCTTCTCCAATCATTTGACGCACTATGATTTTCAATAAAGAAAATATGATCCCTCCTTATTTTTGCTTCACTAAGGATCCGTCTCAGTCTACCTGTTAGTCTATGTGGACAATTTACTCCTTACAGGCAATCATCCAACTGAGATAAACAAACTTCTTCACAATCTCCACTCCACCTTTCGCATGCCCAACCTTGGCCTGGTTTCTCACTTCCTTAGCATCCAAATGACATGACAGCCACATGGTCTACTTCTCGGCCAAACCAATTATATTGCGGATCTCCTCAAAAAATCAAGCATGCTTCATTGTAATGCAGCTCATTGCCCTTTGCCATCCAAATTTGTAAATCCCATAGAAACTTAAGCAATTTTTCCACAAGCATCTCTGTACAAGCAATGAGTTTGCTCACTTTAGTATATTACAATTACTGTACCTGACATTGCTTTTGTTGTAAATCACTTGTGTTAGCAAATGCACAAACCATATCTCATTCGCTTTCAACAACTAAAAAGATTGCTGCGGTATTTAAAAGGCATGATCATTCATGTTTTACACATTACTGTAGCACCCCTCACACTCCAAGCATATGCTTATTCCAACCAGGCCACAAATCCCACTGATCGATGGTAAATTTTAGGCTTCTGTGCTTTGCTGGGCAACACCTTAATATCATGGTCTGTAAGACACAACCAACTGTTGCTGGATCCTCCACAGAG